AATTATGCCTGAGGGGAGACTTTTCGGGGGCAACCGGCAACGGGCGACCCCGACGGACTCGGGGACGTCGTGGCGGCAAAAATTAACCGTCCCTCGCCACGTTCACACGTAACGACGCTCGTTTCTGCCCTGCTCCGTGCCCTGCCCCGGGGGATATTGCCCGAACAACAACCTCGTGTTTACACGAGGAGGATCGTTCGACGCGCGCGCGCGAGGTGGGAAAAGCTCGGTCTGCGGCTCGTTAATAATAGAAAGATGGAAGAAATGCCGCGACGGAGATCGCGAGCGACAACGTTATTGGTACGCTTTTCCGACACGCAAAGGTCAACAAGGACCCGCCGCGTCGAGTAAGCCGCTCGGCAAACACGACCGTACGAAAATTACAGGCGTCTCGCGTCTCTCCTTCCTTAATTCGAGTAACGACCTCATCATCACCGCGCGATAGAGCCAAAACACGCTTCCGCGAGAACATTGTCGGCGTTTAATTGCGCTGTACGTATACAAACGTGCACACACGCGCGCGCGCACGCACTTACCTATGCTCACTAGATTTCACAGTGGAAACGCTTGCTACACGCGGCTTTCGCGCCTCCCCGACGGATCGGATGCCGACTTTATACTCTTGTCACCGCCGAGAGTGCCAAAACAGTGTAACTAATTAAGTGGGAATACATAACGATATTCCCCGCATTTATAATGGATATCGCAAAGCAAACTGTAATCGGTGAAGTACGCGATGATCCGTAAGTAACAACAAATATTTATCTTACAATTAGCGTGTAGATTATGTTCAGTCCAAATTGCGTATCTGTCGCACGTGTAGCATTTTATCGTATGCCGATAACCTTTACGGTGAAATTTTTGTCTAAAAAACCGGCCGAAGTGAAAATACGTATAAGATAAAAGAATATCGATAAAATAAAAAGATGTATGTTAAAGAGTCGTCCAAATGATACCTACATAAATTGCCCGTTGAAGTGTAATTTAAGGCAGTGTAAGGGCCACTTTAACCGACTCCGATTAACTTTAATCGACGATTAACTTAATTAGTAGTGTCGCCAACATGAAGACTTGTTGTGTGTGTCGTCCTTAACCTATCTCTTATTGCTAGTAACCCGTTGCACTCACGTAACAATTTAACGATTTAACAATTTTATCTACGTCAAAGCCGTTGTATGTTTCCAAGAAGAGTATTTTAATTTAATACGTGAAATCACAATTATACCGTGCATTAAAAAGTTAAGAACGACACGCACAACAAGTCTTCATGTTGGCGACACTGCTGAGTGACTTAGGCTGTATCAGACTACGAATTGGGATTGGGATTAGATTGAAATTTAACCAATCACAGTAAAAGTTTACTAATCTTCAGTTCAGTAACTTTTACTCTGATTGATCAAATTTCAATCTACTCCCAATCTCAATCCGTAGTCTGATACGGGCTTTAGGCTGTGTTCCGATATTCACTGCCAGTACTGCAAATCTATAGTTTACGTCGCGTATACTATACATTTTCGGTACTGGCAGTGAATATCGGAATACAGCCTTAAGCCAGCGGTACACGATACTATTTTTCCTACTGGACTGTTCACGAGAGCCTGTCAGGATTTAGCTTTAAGTCACCTGATCTAAAACTCTGCATCCTTACTGGTTCTCGTAAGCAATTTAGGAAAAACAGTATCGTGCGCCGTTGGCTTTACTCGTCGAGTAAAGTTACTCAGAGTTGGTTAAAGTGGCTAAGAATCTGTACGCGGTGTATATGCACGTTACACTGTTGCTGGTAGCGCTGTACACCCCTAATAGACAGGTGTCTCCAGTGACATCATTATTCACGAGGCGGTAACCTGAATCAACGTGTTATTTGGACGACCTTCATATATAAATAATTTGTATATGTATATGATAAAAGAAATCTCGCTAAAGAGAAAATAAATTTTTATCAACCGTTGCAAGCAATTAAGGAATTATTTTTTTTATGAGTAATGTTATCAATTAGATATTCGGTACACAGAAATTTTCCTCTTGCACACACACACACACACACACACACGCACACACACACAAGATTGATATTTAACAATCAAAACTATTTAAATACGGTGCTTTAACCAATGGCGTTTGGTTGAACCTATCACCCGAAGAAGCGAGCTCTTAATTTTCACGCTTCTTTATATACAAGGTATATGCAAAGTGATTAGAAAAAGGACCTCAAAGGCAAATAGTACTCGTGAAATGATCGAAACATTAATTTCGTTGTTATAAACAGGGAATTTTTTTGAAAGGGTGCGGCAGTACGAAGCACGCGTGGAAATGGGAGGAGGATATGTAGAATCTTCTGTAAACTTTGGAGTTTAAAGAATTCTTCTTTTCTCTTCTTCTGAATAAATGGAATTTACTTTAACCGAAATAGAGAATTGTTTAAAACTCTGAGAACATTAATTTTTCAACCTATGTTTATCGAGATTTTTGCTCCATTTTACGATTATTATCTGTCCTTAAGGTCCTGAATCCTTTTTTTTAAATATTCTGCATAATATAATAAACATATATAAATAATTAATAATCATATGAGAGAGGAGAGAGTAAGAAAAACCAACGAGATGCAATAGTACCGACGATAATCGAACGGAACCAGTCTAGTTTTGCAAGGAGCAAGAAACAAGATGGGTTATCGTTGTTTGTTACTTATAAGGCCCGGTTTTTCATTTTCTGGTTAACTGTTAAATCGGAGGTTAGTCGATTCTCTATCTTTTTCCATATTATTGTCTAAGAAGAGACAGGCAATCGACTAACCTCTGGTTAACATCTAACCAGAAAATGAAAAACCGTACCTAAGTGTCCTTCCCTCACATGCTCATTAAATTACATCTGTGATTCTTTCTGATGAACGTGTACAGTGAAAAGCATAATCTTCCCAGCGAGAAATGACTCGTCGATCGATGTCGAAACGATGTCGAATTATTTCTCACTGGGTTGCAACTGCAGCAACAATTTGCTAGGTACGAAAAAATAACTGGGATTCACAAATGAATAGCCAATACTGCGAAATCGCATATGTTTTGTATTTAATCAATCTAAGTAACAGAAGCAATTTCTATCTCGGCTGTTAGCGAATGTTGGGAGGAAAGTCTTTCCGTGACGCCCATCCATCATAACGTATGATTGTACATAAAGTTATATTCCTCACAAAGATTGTTCTAGCTATGATACCGAAATTCACTTTTATCCAATATGAATGAGTAATATTTATCTTGATCTGTAGATAGATATCAGCTACATTCGCCGCGAATAAATTTTTTGTAGGGGAAAATATAGGAAATGACGAAAAGAATAAATATAACTAAATAGGTATATTGAAATAACATGCCGATCTAAATATATACGGAGAGCATTTTCTTTCAAAATTTATCCTGAAAATTTTATAATTGTGGGACAACGCGGCTTTTTGAAAAATTTCATGAGAGTTTCTTTTTTAAACGTTACCATACATTTTACTAGTAAAATGGTATAATTATTAATGAAGTACATGGTAGAATTTTAAAAACTCTCATAAAATTCTTTAACACGCCGTGTTGTTCCACGATTATAAAATTTTCAGGATAAATTTTGAAAGAAAATTCTCTCCGTGTACCGTCAGCAACGAAGATACACAATTAATAATTCTGCCAATCAATTGTACTAATTAAAATTAATGTACAAAGAGAGAGTTTGCTTATAGTCACCAGTGATGATTAAAAATTAAAACGGGATGATTAAAGATTAAAACGGGAAACTTGTAGTCAACCCGACTGGCATATTCGTTTATTTGTTTAATACCAATTTGTATTGTTGTTTCCCGTTTTAATTTAAAATTAATGTGTTAAAATTGATATAAAAGAGGAACGCCGATTTCTTGGAAGATCGTCGTAAGAAACGAGAATTATCGCACGGCGCTTGGAAACGTAACGACAAATCTGTAAGAGAAAACCACTAAAACTCACCCCTTGAAATTCCTCTTGGAGGGAGGGACGCTGGCTCACCTATCCCCGTAGCGGATTCCTCCAGATGAGAGCTACTTCTCTCCTCGTGCGGTATAATCGTTCTCTGCAAAGTTTCGTAAAGTAACGTCTCCGCGAAGACAGCAATCGAAGGTTCGAGCCCCTCGTGCGGGTGTTCTCTCGAGTTTTGCTATCTTCCCGTTCGACGGCGATGCGAGGAAACAGCCCTAGATCTCCCAGGAAACAAAGGATTTTTAGCGAAAGATCGGTTCTTTACACTGCGGAATGTGTCCGGTAATGGGATCGAGGGAGTGACAGGTGCGGCGGTGACTTGTGTCCTCGCGACGGATACGGTCAGCCGTCGGGAAGAGCCGCGGGATTCGGACGGACGAGACTTGGAGGCTCAAGCGGGTCGAAAGAGAAACCAGAGTAGAGACCCTATAATCAGAGGCTGGCTATAAGAATTCGTCAAATTCTTGCGAGTGTAAGAGAAACATAGGCTATCTCACTCGTAGAAATTTGACGAACTCTTATGGCCAGTCTCTGACTACAGGGTCTCCAGGCCAGAGGCATGTAGAGCGTCCTCGTTGACGTCGGCCGTGTTACTACGGCAGGAGAACTCCGCAATACGTCCGTCGAAAGAGATGAAGACAACTAGTTTCAGGTCCCTACCACAAAGTTCTCTTACCACGGCTGTGCTGCGTCACACGACGAGGTCTCGTTTCGAGGAATCGGTGACGTCGTTGCCGTCGCCGGGGGTGTCGGTCAGGACAAAAGAAGATGATCTCGCGGTCGCGACGTCTCCGCTTATGCGCAATGTAGCGTACAATTGCGCGATTTTTATACAGGCAATGCGCCGATTGTATATAGACAACAGGATGCTCGCCAGTGGGAGGGACGCAAACAAATTGCGATCGCTATATCTTGTATCACGGTTACTTATGAGGGGGTTATTCTCACGTTATCGCCAATCGAAGGGGGAACAAGTGGTGCGACGGGCGCGCGTTCACGTTTCCCTGGCGAAAATAATATATTTATATGAAGTTTGTTTAAATGTTGAGTCAACGTTTTATTTGAGTTTTAAAACATTTATTAAATTGTTTGTGAGATATAAATTTAAACATGGGGTTGTTTATGACATGTTTACGGCTACATAGTTTTCTAAGTGTTTGTACAATGTTATTGTCAGTAAAGAATTAACCAGGTGTTTGCAACGTACTTAGAAACGGTGTAACCATCAATAAAACTCTTCATAAACAATGCAACTATCGATAAAACTCTTCATAAATAAATATAAACGTCATCTCTCACTTAAAATTTTCGCCAGGGTGTAAACGATACGCGCGCGGGAAACGACGACGATGCGATGGCATCGGCCTTCAGGTGAATGTCTCCGATTCCGGTCGATCTCGAGACGGTCCGTTCGTCTGAAAACCTCACGAGGAAACTAAACGTGGCGATTAGCGGGACGTAATGTAATCGGCGACGTAGTGTAGCTTTATATTTACTTTGTTTTTTCTTCAGGCGGATTGGTTCGACTTAGATATGACATAGTTGCGTCAACTCGGATCTATCTAGAATTTAGTTCGAGCTCCTCGTTGATTTTGAGACAATAGAGACGTGATTTTCGACAGACCGACCTACAGAGCAGCGGGACTCGACGTGGTACCGTTACGCAACGAAATTTTGACCGAGTCGCAAGTGAAAAAATATAAGATTAATAATGTTGTAAAATTAGTTAAACGTTCCTTCGTATCACATTGAATAGGTCACCCGGAGGTCACTCAGCGTCGACTGACGTGCCGTTGATTAAATCTAGAGAGGTCAAGCAGCATTCTCGCATGTGTAGTATCAACGAGTGATTATCCTTTGCCTTTATAAACAATACAAACGCGATGGAAATTGCAGGCGCGCTATGCCGTGTCTTCACAGCCGAAGGACCCTTACCTTCGGTTTGCTGTAAAGTTTTCACGATACAGATTTTCACGAAATACGTCCGTTAACATCGAGAAAGTGATCCCGGTGGGTAGTAAATAATGTTCGTCCATTTGTCAAGTATTTCAACGCAACGTATATCGACTTTGTAGCGCCGTAAGGAATCTTCTCTCTGCAGCTTGGTAACAGCCAACATTTGCACGTGATTTGTATATTTTTTAATACCAGCTCAAAATTTACAGAATCAATGCAACTTATGTCCTTCATTACGATTGATTTGATATCAGATACTATTCCAAATTACATAATACACGGAGAAAATTTTCTCTTAAAATTCAAATTAAATTTTTAATTTAAGAATTAATAAATTTTTTCTTCGTTCGCTCTCTTTTATTTAATAACAATGATTTGCTAACGAATGTT